TTGAAGGTTAATGTCCATTGTCAAGCATGTAAAATGAAGATGATGGAAGTCTTGAATTCGATTTGCATGCTTGACAATGGACAAGCATGTAAAATGAAGATGATGGAAGTCTTGAATTCGATTTGCGGTAATATTCGCCACTGTATTAAAAAAAATATAGAAATGTAAATCATTTATTTGTTATTTCGTCTAATTTTATTTAATTCAACGTACCAAAATATCAAATTAATTATCTGCACATATTTAATTTATTGGCAGGGGTATATTCTGTCACCATAGATGCTGAAGAAGGAACTGCAAGAGTTTCCGGGTTGGTCGACCCGAACATACTTATGCGGGCATTGACAAGGACCGGGTACCATGCAGAGTTGAAATGGGTCAAGCTAAAACACCAGGAATTGAGTAGAGGCTACAATTATGGACATGGATACAACTATGGAGCAATTGATGACCCGTATAGGTATCCACGGACTTTACCATATCATTACTCGAGAAGATCTATGTATCATTTTCACGGATCAAGCTATTACCACTCGTATCTGCCTAGGTATGTCTCATTATATACACAATAAGAAATTATTATTATTATTATTTTTTTTTTCAATTATGACTCGAGATGTTATTTGTGTAGGGCTCGAGCCTTTTATTTTTGAAAGGGCGAAGACATACATTTCAACCTATTGGAATCACGTAATCACAATTGCAAGATTGATTGTTCGAATTTTAATCCGAATTATTTTTTTTTCCCCATAGAGTTCATTGGATTTTGCATTTGATTAGTGAAATTAAGGATGGTGTACTAAAGTAGTTTAAGATTTGAATTTTTGTTGATGCAATCATGAACTTAAAAGAAACTGACTTCAATACAAGAAAGTGATGTAATCATATTAAAATGTTTAAAATATTTTTTAATTGTTGTGAATGAGTGTTTTTAATTAATGTTTGATTTTAGTATTTATCTACATTATTTTTTCTCAACACAATACAAAATAATAATGAAATTGCCAATCAAGATGTCTCCCACAACAAATAATTGCATCAAAAGTTTAATATGTGATAGTTATTATTTCAACTACAGAACTAAATTTTAATCGTAAATTAGTTTATATGAATTTACACAAATAATTTATGTTGAGAATTAGAAACCTTATAATTCTATACTACTAACAATAATAAAATCGCAGTAAAGAAATAGATAAACAAAAACACGCAAATTTTTTAAAGATTCACATCAATGTGAGACTACGTTCAATCTACCGTTACAGTAATTCACTATATTGAAAAGAAATTTATAAGAGAAAATTCACACACCTTATTTTCTCTAATCTCTCTTTCTTTGATGATGATAAAAGTTCATAGAAGACGGCTCCCTATGTATAAGAAAAATTAGAGCAAAAATGAAATTACAAGTGCGGAATTCCTAAATTATTCTTAATGAAATTCTTGTGCGAGGCTCCATCCCACACCCTGGGGTGGGGTGGGGGGGGGAGTTACCGCCCCTCTTTCAACTCCACGGCGATCTTATCCCAAAAATCAATCAGCATACGAATTTTGCACAACAGCAATAATTAAGTTTCATAACTTAACAATGTATAATCTGAATAATTAACAATTTTTACTTGAAGAAATAAAACACGCAATGCTGAAATCGGAAAATTTACCCTAGTATATATTTTTTCTTAAGCATGAAAAGATGTTTATGGTCTGGTCGGTCCTATCGAACCATATAAATGTTTGACTTCACGTACAAAATTCTTGTTAATTATTAGTATTTGTGGCTAAAAATGTTTTTCTTCTCCGGTCTGCTCAATTGATTGCATTGTCATCAATGCATAAAAGAGGCGGTTGTTCAGTTCCAAATTAATCACCATTCCCCCATCTTAAAATCTTGCAACCTGGCTTGTTCGAACCAATTAAACTATTACAAATAACCCATCCAATAATTAACGTTTGAACTCACATTTGGTCTGGTTTGATTGAACTTAAATTATCATTTTGGGTGTTGATCATTCAATCGAATGATTGCGATTCTGTCTTCAAATCGTGGCTATCCATTGATCGTACAACATATATGTTGATAATTGTGATTTATGTCTCCAACCAAATGATTGCAGTAGCATCTACAATGTTTGATAAGGAAATAATCTAAACAATATTAAAGTTACGTTCGATATTACACATCAAACATGTAATAATAGCACACAACAAAGCGCAAAATGTGATGAAATTCTTAAAATAAATAAATATGAGTGCCTAGTTTTTGGCATCTTCAATACTATACCCTCAAGGGTTTTAGATGGGAAAAGAGTTTGAACGAGCTAGTGATGCAATTATTTTTTCCACTGATTCCAAAAGGCTAAAAGACGGAGGGGCTTTCGAGCATTGTGGTAAAGAGTCACCAACATAAAACGGGGTTGAGTGATGCGTAAAGGATTCATAGAAAATATAATAATCTTATTAAATATTTTGAGTCTAAAATTTTGGTACGATTTTCATTTCAAAACTGCCAATAACTGTCTGCGTTCTTTAATTTAGGTCATCAGTAGATTCAACTGAATCAGTCGAAATGAACGTTGAAGCTAAAACCGGCCACATAGCAAGACTTCCACCTTTTTAATTGAATTTCACATTTCTTTAGAAAACAAAAATCATTTTCCATTTTTTGTTCTAATGATACGGGAGGAGGTTGTTCACCTTTCCAATCCTCGTGAAATGCCACCGAATATGTGGATCAGCATTAAGGTTTTGGATTCATTATTTGATTGACTAAACTTGGAAGAAAGGTCCCATTAATTAATTCTTGATAGAGCTTCGTCTATCATAAAAAATCACACACGGGATTTCAATGTCATCTTACACAAGCTTCTACAATAAAAAAATTTGGTCATAATCTCATAAATTTCATACTTATCTCAAATTATTTATTAAGCGTCAAAGTCTATTATTAAATTTGAATTTTAACAAGGAATTGAATAAAAGGAGCGTGCTATGGGAGCATTCTTGAGTTTGAATCAGGGGTGGACAAATTTTTGTTTCATCATCAATGATCTTTATTCATAAAAGTCGTTCGTTAATTTTTAATTTGTTATATCGTTCTCGCTTAACCAGTGACACAAACGTAAAAAAATATATTTCACGCCTTTCGAATAGCAAAGGAAAAAGGAAACTTTACTTAACCATGTATTCTACTTGAAGTTCATGTATCATGCCAAAATAGAACGTATTTATCTGAATTTCATTGACCTTAAAACTCATTAATTTAATCCATTTTGGTGGGGTCCCATATTTTCCTTTCTTAAATACAAAAAAATCAACGTGCACCCAACATTGAATCATTGAGTAACCAGACGACTTTAAAATGAGCACTGCTATGAGTACATGATTTTTTAACAGAAAACATACAGGAATTTGAAATGAATGGAAAGGATTGAAAGATTGGAGAAGGGAAAAAATACACACATGGACAGGATTCATTCATTTCAAAATTCTGGCAAAATTGTGGCAAAAATTTCTGTACTTAAGGAATTTTTCCTTTAAAATTTCCAACATTGATAGAAGAGTCTCGCAACGTTACCAGAAGCAGTTGACAAGAGGACGTGGCAGTATGACATGGCCGAAATTTTTACCATTTTGAATTTGAAATGCATTTTAAAATAAACTGATCAGGCCCAAATGCTAAACCCTTTTCACCCCACCCCCCCTCCCACCATCTAAACCTAAATCTCCCAAATCCATTTCCCCCCTTGTGAAACCCTCTAAACCCTCCTTCTCCATTTGCCCATCTTCTCCAACGGCGCAAATCCAAGCTTACAATGAGAGGAAAGAACTATGGAGTGTGACATAGCTGTTGAAGTAAGGGACATTTTTTTTTTTGCGGAATGCCCGAACAAACGCCCCTGTCCATGGTGCAATCCAGGCTTCCTGAAGTGTTTTGAGGTGGAGAAAAAAACGAAGAACCAAGGTAGGTTATTCAATACTTGCAGCGTGAACTGTGGCTTTTGAGAGTGAGTCGAAGCGGGTGAAACGAGTGGTGTATCTAGGTCCATTAATGTGGAGAACGCCATTGCTGAAGATTTATCTAGCTTGTTGAAATCACGATGCCGCCTAACTGATGAGGGGGAAGGAGTTGAGATATCTATGACGGTGAAAATACGCAATGGAAGAGCAAGCTAGATTTCGCGGGTTTAATGAAATTGTAGTTAGGAATGTAGATTGAATTTGGAATTCGAATTTTGAACGTTGTAAATATTGGGTTGTGCTTAGTGATTAACCAATGGGTAGTATGTGAAATCGTAGTTAGGAATGTAGATTGAATCAGATGCTTAACTCTTGTAAATCATTTAATTTAAAATTCTACTACGTACTGAGTGTTAACTTCTGTTAGCATTTCATTGTTTCCAAAATTGCAATGTGCTACTAAGTTACTGAGGACACTGGTGTCGTGTATGGTTGTTGCAAAATTCCATTGCCAAGTCGAGTTACTCGGCCCTGTTTCAATGGTTTTAATCTCACTGTACTGAAACTGAAATTCAGTTTACAGTGTATGTGTTAATCAAAATTCACTAATGAAATTCATAAATAAATTTATTGTTGAAGATCATCAGCAGAGTTTGGCAATGAATCGGAGTTGGAAAAACAAGTCAGTATAAGCGAACCTTGAAATAGCAAGTCATGTGTATAAGGGAACCATAATCTAACATCAGTAATGTAGCTGCCTTGCTTGAAATAACTTCAGCCAAATAATTTTTATCCTCACCATTAACACTCAGTACAAAGCATGCCACTACTATACAAAATGGACTGATCCATCTAATAGCATCCACTGGTTTCCCAAAACATTAGAAATGATAATATATCAATGGATAAGTAGATTCATAACCAAACAACAGAATTTGCAACATAAACAAAAAAGCAAAGAGACTTCTCCCAAAAACCGTTATTTCATAAATCAAATCTCACTAAACGATGCAAAAGAGGAAGACATAGTATCAACAAATATATAGAAGCTTGGATGCGACATCTTCATCCAAAATACATACTAAATTGAGCATAACAAAAAAAAATTTTAACTGCAAATGCCTAGACCTCAGATCGAGCACCTAATGTAAAGGAAGGTCCTACATCTGCAGGCGCATTACAAACTCTCTTCCCTCATCCAAACCTGAAGTTAGTCTTCCACTGCCAACACTATCATGCACTGGTTGTATACCCCAACCTGTAGCCAACCAACTATAATCTGATATTGATAGAATAAGTCAAGCAACTATAGCCACATAAGTTAAAGCTGGTTGCGTGTTACTTTACCTTATGGCTTCAATATAGGATTGGTTGACGATGGATTGATTGAACTAGAGGTACATAACTGTTGCCTGAATTGATCACTTTGGTTTCCACCCTGATAGACGGTTGCAACATCTCCCACATTACTTGGCCGTGCCTTCGGTCTCTTGACTTTATTTGAACTTGAAGGTGCCTGCAAAACATTCTTGTGGGGTCCCACATTTCCCTTGTAGAGGTTACTATGGTCAGTACAATTATGGATATGGATTCAACTATGGAGCAATTGATGACCCGTATGGGTATCCACGGACTTTACCATATCATTACTCGAGAAGATCTATATATCATTTTCACGGATTAAGCTGTTATCACTCGTATCTGCCTAGGTATGTCTCATTAAATACACAATAAGAATTTTTTTTTTTCAATTATGTAGTTTTGTACCGTATATCAGATGAATAGTTATTTTCTTGTTTCAAGTTAGAAAATATAGGGTGAAAATTATTAGTTTCTCATTTTTTGACTCGAGATGTTATTTGTGTAGGGCTCACACCTTTTATTTTTGAAAGGGTGAAGACATACATTACAACCTATTGGAATCACGTAATCACAATTGCAAGATTTGATCGTTCAAATTTTCATTTGAATTATTATTTTTCCCCATAGAGTTCATTGGATTTTGCATTTGATTAGTGAAATTAAGGATGGTGTACTAAAGTAGTTGATGTTCATCGTCTATCAAAATCTGATATGTATTTATAATTTTTTTTTCAGAGGCTGTTTAAGATTTGAATTTTTGTTGATGCAATCATGAACTTAAAAGAAACTAACTTCAATTCAAAAAAGTGATGTAATCATATTAAAATGTTTAAAACATGGTATAGAACGAAAAATATATGTTACAATCAATAAAACTCTTTAAGCAAAAATCTTTAGTTTTGGAGAAATTATTTAAAGAAAAAAAAAGAGTATTGGATCCCATGAAATATATAAATAAAAAATATGTAATAGTTGTGAATGAGAGTTTTTAATTAATGTTTGATTTAAGTATTTATCTACATTATTTTTTCTCAACACAATACAAAATAATAATGCAATTGCCAATCAAAAATGTCTCCCGCAACAAATAATTGCATCAAAAGTTTAGTATGTGTTAAGAATTAGGGTTCCATCTTAAAATGTCAACCTTATTAGGATGAGTAACCCGATCCTTTATAAGTTGGTTTATGTTTACATCTCTATTCGACGTGGAATTATATCCCTTAACAATTGATACATAGTTTTGTTTGTATATTGTTTGCTTTATGAGAAATCTATTTTGGATAACTTATGGAGAAAAGGAGTGGATATCAAATGAAGAGGATGAAGAAGTAACAATTATTGAAGATGACCCATGTTTCAAATTGGAATGGACTTCAACTGAACCAATAGAAAATTTCGTGGAACTTTATACATAATAAAATTGACTACAGGCTAATTGACCAAAAAGTATTGAGTGTATGCTTTTTTACCGAGCATTATGATTGACTTGGCGTATTAAGCAAACCTCCCCACCCCAACCCCCTTTTTTAGTTTTAAGGCAGATTATCGATGAATCATATTGCACTTCATTATAAGACATGTAGTTCATTCTTAAAACATCAACATTATTAAGCGGAGTAGTCTAAATCCTTATAAGTTGATCTATGTTTTCATCTTTATTCGATGTGAAATTTTATCATTTAACATGCCCCCACAAAATGACGGTTCATTTGAGCAAACCAATCTTGATATTCGCGTACTCATTTTTTGAATCTTAACAGGATCAAACTGCTCGTTAGAGCCCTGTGGACTCTGATACCAAATTCAAATTTGGGGTTCCATTTTAAAATATTAACCTTATTAAGAGGAGTAGTCCACACACTAACAAATTGGTCTATTTTTTTCATTTTTATTCGTTGTGAGATTTTATCCTTAACATGTAATTGATAATTGTCAAAAAGGAATGTGTATAATCAACATATACATACCAAAAATAATTCAAAATTGAAGTAACATTGAACAATGACGTGCTAACTATTTAATTCGGTTTAGAAGCTAGGAAATTGACTGAGAATAAATGTTCCCATTGTTTAGTACAATTTTGTGATTGAGAGATTGTTTTAGAACACCCCTATTGTAAACAGCATAAATGATACATACACACATGTTAACTTCAACTCTCCATTACATTCTTAAAATCAATTTGAACTTCTCAAAATTTGTGTTTTGTTAGCAATGAGTAGCAATTGTAAGAATAAGAACAATTGCCAAGTATATATGTATTCCATTTAGTATAAATTTGTGACCTTTTGCTTT